TGGTTGCGATATCTCTGAGTACTGTGTGGGCGCATGTCGTCAGTTTGTCTGTTGCTGTTCACGTGTGAATAAGTCGAGTCTGATTGCACTGGCATCGGAGCAGATACCCGCTGTTCCGCGCACGCCGCCGTGTGCAGGGTCGATACGCCATAGCTGAGGTGGTGATCGGAGGAGGCAGTCCGCCATAGCGGACCTCGGGTTGAAGAAGCCGCCGCGCACCTGCAGGCAGAGGTCCACGACGAAGAAGGTGGAGAGAGAGAGAGAGAGAGAGAGATACAAGATTGGGTTATTACCTGCTGCACTGAAGATACCGCTACGGCGGGAGAGAGAGAGGGAGAAAGATGAGCGATCTAAGATTGGTTGTCACTTACCTGTGAGGCGAGTGTATAGTCCGGTGGAGAAGGAAGGTAGCGGCCATAGCCGCGGAGTATCATCACAGGGTATCATAGGAGAGAGACAGGGAGGACAGAGGAGGAGGGACCGAAGGAGAGAGAAAGAGAAGTGTGGAAGGAGGGATATCGGAGAAGAAGACAGACATAGCCGGGGGTGAAAAAAAAAAAAAAAAAAAAAACAGAGAAAGTGAAGAAAGAGAAGAGTGAAGGAAGGGGAAGTAAGCGGCGAGGGTGACGAAGGTGAAGGTGCTGGCAGCCATAGCCGAGGCGAAGGGTTGACCGGGAGTTGACCAGAGGGTTGACCAGAGGGTTGACCAGGGCGTTGACCAAGGGTGTTGACCAAGCGTTGACCGGAACTGCTGACCAAGACTTTGACCAAGCTGGAGTTGGTGATATCTCGCTGAGCCCTTAACCTATGATCTTACCCTGTGGATGTGCACCTACCCCACGGTACTTGCTGAGTTTGTCTGTCTACTCTTTCTGCATTGAGTCTCTTTTGTCCTAGGTGTTAGGACTCTGTGGATGAAGGATAGGGCCTTGCTTCCAAACCTGCACGGGACTTAGTAGGACTAATCTCTACTCTGGCATCTGGAAACCTGGGCATGAGCGGCGAGCGCTCGTTAAACAACTGTAGCCCAATGACCGGTACTGTCTGGCAGGTCTACTCAGTTTCAGTGTAGAGGGTCTGAACTCCGAGTTGTGGGCTGAAACGAAGGCCGTCCTTACGTGTTGAGGCCTGGTTGAACCACTCCCCTACCGGACCTAGTAAGGCTGATGATCTATGTCTGACGACTCGACTGTCCCGAGGGATACGAACCCCTCCAAGGACTGGTACAGACCGGCGGGCTGCTCGGTGTGGCACAGTAGGCCGGAACGGCTGAGTTGTGGGCTGAAATCGCCAGGAAGAACCACGCTGATCACGTCGTCCTGACTGCGACGGTAAATAATTCTTGCGGAGTTCGGGGGATCTCCTTAAATGCCTCCTGATCAGTTGTGGGTTCAGTAGTGACAGCCTTAGAGTAGTTTTGAGTAGTGACCTTAGAGAGTCAGTCAGTAGGTCAGTGTCCGGGTAGGCCTAAGTGGTAAGGAGTGAGACTCTTGTCGTGCACCTGATACCACGATGGATGACTATCCGATGTATGGGCTGCTTGTGGGGTTCTCCCTCTGGGGGACCCTATAGCGTCTCCTCTTTCCTCTGGGCTTTTGGCTCACTTTCACGTGTAGAGTAGGGACTCGGGGTGGTTGTTCCACCCAACCTTACACGAAGGAAGAGGAGGAGAAGATGACCGCCGTCCTGAGGGAAAAAAAGGAGAAGAAATAGACCAAGAAGAGGGCCCTACAGGAGGAGCAGGCGGCCAAGCTGAAAAAGATAGAGGAAGAGATGGTCAGGGAGAAGGAGAGAATAAAGAAAGAAAAAGAGGAGAAGCTGAAAGACGTGGAAGAGGAAGAAGAGCGAGATGAAACGCCACTGCAAAGGAAGAGGGGGCAGCACGGTGGCAACAAAGATGAAGAGATGGAGAAACAGATTTCGGAGTGGGTCGCCAACTTATCCCTCGGCGACGACGAAGAGAAAACCATGTATATCCCCAAGGATAAGCAGGAAGGCGCTATGAAGAAATGGGAAGAAGAAGAAGATGTTCTGAAGCGGCAGGCGATGGAAGATGAAACGAGGATGGTGTGGAAACTCGCAATGATGAGGGAGAAGAAAAGAAGAGTGGAGGCGGCAAGTGAGGCGGTTAAAGAGCTGGAAGAGGTGCAAAACCTAACTCTACGAATGACCCCCCAGGTAGACCTCCAACCAAAGGTGGATATCATTGCCCAGAGCGTCGAGCGTTTAGCGAGAGTACAAGAACAACAATATGAGTTTAGCCGAAGTCAGGACATAGCTCGGCGTTCGATGCGGATGGGGTTTCGAGACTTTGCCCGCGAATTCGTAGGAGTTGTAGGAGCCGAGGTGAATCATCGCCTCGAGAAGACTGAGCGTTTTTGTGTTGGCGTCATTGAAGGCGTCAAGGTGGCAGCTCCCAAGGAGGGCGAGCCGCGTCCTCGTAGGGAGCCAGTCAAAGTTAAGTTTCCTGATTCCTACACTGGAAAGAGGGAAGAAAACTTTGACAATTGGGAGACCAATATTAAGACCGATGTCCACCTGCAACAGGTCTCCCCGGATCAGCATGTCTTGATTGCGATCCATGCGCTCAGAGACGAAGCTGCCAGCTTTGCAAGGTCCCTAGTTCGCGCCGCCAACTGCAATGATGATGCAATTGCCTATTCGTTATTCACCCCCCTCGCTGAGTTCATGAAATTGCTGCCCGAGCGATTTGCAGATGTTGCTCGCAGTGTCAAGGCCTCAGATAAGTTCCAGACAATCCACGCTCGTAAGTGGACGAACGTCAGGGCACTCAAGAGCACAATGGACGAACTAGTAGCTGTCCTTGACCATGGGGTTACAGACACCCAGTTGGTTGCCCTCTCATACAGAGCGATGCTCGAAGCTTTTCGCTGGCACTTCTTCGCGAAGAGCGAAGACCCTGCCACCACTTACGATTCCCTTAGCCGTGAAGTGGTGGCCTTTGAGGCAAAATCTATGTCAGTCTCCACCTTCTGGCACAAAAATTTGGATAAGGGAAAGCAATGGAAGGGCCGCACTATCTCTGGGCAAGTGAAGACTAAGGATAGTCTTGTCCTCACTTTAGATGAGGGTAGTGTGGATGAGATCCCCTACGATCAGATTGAGTAAAGGTTGGAGGAGGAGGACAACGATGTGGGCCAGGGGAGAACTTACGTTGCTGTCACGGCTGGAGGGAGGCCACAAGGAGGAGGACGAGGCCAGGGCCAAGGGGGTCGGGCCTCAGGGAGCCGATTYCAGGGCGATCAGGGGGTTGGCGGCAGAGAAGGAAACCGCCAAGCGGGAGGAAGGGGTCAAGGTCCCTCGCAAAACCGTCCTAGGAACAGGTCTCCCTATAGGGTAGGAGGATGGCACCCAGGGCTACCCCACGGTAGGCCTTGAGAAAGTTTGGGTCTGGACCAGGACTTATGGCAAAAGCGATTGGACCGGGGCAGTGCATTTTCTGCGGTGACCTGGACCATATCATCAAATATTGTCCTAAGTATAGAGAGACCCAGACGGTTGCTCAAGGGCCAAAAGCCAGCCGCCGGTAGGGGTAGCAACTGCCCCTACCATTASGCCATGTGGGGAACATAGCGCTAGCCGGCAAAAGACTCCCACACCACAAGTGCCTATGGCAGAGGTTGCAGACCGGTGTCTAGATCGCTGTCCAAAGACTACTTGTATTAGAGTCTCTCTGAACACCTCCCTCACAGGCGTGGCTGATGAATTGAAGGAGAGGCTGCCCGTCTGGGCCAAGATGAAGAAAGAGAATAAAGGACAGCTTATATTACTAGATACAGAGATTTTTAGAGGTAGAGTAGGGGCCCTAGTAGACTCAGGGGCCACCCGCAGCTATATTAGTAAGAAAGCGTTGCAGAAACTGAAGCTAGGACTTAAAGTCCAGAAACTAACAGACCCCATAGTTAGTATCCTTGCGGACAATCGTACTATGGTTGTAGAGGATTACGTAGAGGGAGTCCAACCGTATTTCCACCTAGAGAAATATGGGAAAGTGGAGAAGGTTCTCCACTCCCTGACTCTCCTCGTAGAAGACAGTCTCCCATTTGATATTGCTCTGGGGCAGCCGGGGTCACGCTCCATTTGAAGGAGCATGAGTGTAGGCTCCCTAGTTCTTCAGACGAGGCCAAGATTGCCCGCCTATTCCATGTGTCAGGAGTAGAGAATCCCTTGACACATTGCTGCCTTAGTGCTCCTGCGTTCGCCAGATTAGTGAAAAAGGAGAAACTGGAGGAACATGGTTTTGTTGCCTATGTTAAGCCAGTGACTGAGCCTACAGAAGAAAAGTCGATGGACCCTGCGATTGCCAAGCTACTGGAAGAGTTCAAGGACCTAACTGAGCCGCCGATAGGAGCGGTACCGCGGCCCATCCAGCACCGCATTGAGATAGAGCCTGGCACTAGAACTCCTAAGGGCGCTGTGTATAGGATGTCCCCACGGGAGTTAGAGGAGCTTCGCAAGCAATTAGACGAGCTCTTCGAGAAGGGTTGGATTAGGTCCAGTTCGTCTCCTTTTGGAGCGCCTGTTCTCTTTGTTCCCAAGAGAGAGAGCTGAGAATGTGCATAGACTATAGGGGTCTGAATGCTATTACAATAAAGAATGCTGAGCCACTGCCTATGATAGACGATCTCTTAGATCGAGTGCAGGGGGCAAAGCATTTCTCCAAAATCGATTTGAAGTCCGGATATCATCAAATAGAAGTACATCCTGACGATCAGTATAAGACAGCCTTCCGGACTAGATATGGGCACTATGAGTTCATAGTGATGCCCTTCGGACTAACCAATGCACCAGCTACGTTCCAGCGCTGCATGAACGATTTGTTTAGGTCATGGTTAGATAGATTTGTTATTGTCTACTTAGATGATATTCTAGTGTTTAGTAAGACCCTCCAACAACACCAGGTTCATCTCAGGCAGGTCTTGGAGAAGTTGAGGGAAGCTAACTTCAAGATCAATGCAAAGAAGTGCGATTGGGCAAAGACCCAAGTTTTATACCTAGGCCACGTCTTAGACGGAGACGACGTTAAACCAAAAGATTGTAACATCGCAACGATTAGAGATTGGCCCACGCCACATACGCTAACAGAGTTGCGCTCGTTCCTGGGCTTAGCTATTTACTACAGGAAGTTCGTGAGGAACTTCTCCACCATCGCTGCGCCCCTTCGCAGATTGTTGAGGAAAGAGACCATCTGGAAGTGGGACAAGGATTGCATGTCTGCCATGAAGAAGTTAAAGCAGGCGTTGATAGAGTATCCGGTCCTTAAGGTAGCCGATCCGTCCTTGCCCTTTGTCGTCACTACGAATGCTAGCCAGTATGGCATAGGCGCGGTGTTGCAGCAAGACGATGGCAACGGTTATAGACCCGTAGAGTTCATGTCCGCCAGGATGCCTTCAGAAAAGGTCGCGACATCTACCTATGAGAGGGAATTCTACGCTCTCAGGCAAGCCTTAGAACATTGGAAGCACTACTTGCTTGGGAGGCACTTCAAAGTCTATTCCGATCATGAGACGTTACGATGGTTAAAGACACAGGCCAAGATGACACCTAAGCTTACTAGGTGGGCCGCAGAGATAGATCAGTACGACTTTGAGCTCAAACCAGTCAAGGGGAAGTACAACGTAGTTGCGGATGCTCTGAGTAGGAGAGCTGATTACTGTGGGGCAATAGTGCATTACTTAGACATAGGAAAGGACCTGCAGCAGAAGATTAGAGAAGCCTATGCACAGGACCCTATCTATAGTGACCTCCTCAAGAAGGTCAAGGAGGCCCCACAGACTGAGTCAAACTACCGCACTACGGAAGGGTTGCTTTTTGAGAAGACTAATGTATTTGACCGCTTGTGCATTCCCAATCATGAAGAGATCCGTACTGTGATTTTGGGAGAATGCCACGACACAGAGGGTCATTTTGGTTGGCAGAAGACTTTAGCCAATCTGATGCGCGCATATACCTGGCCAGGAATGAAGAATGACTGCGTGGAGTATGTTCGCAGTTGTAAAGTCTGCCAGCGTAACAAAACTTCTTCGCGTGCCCCATTAGGTCTCCTCAGACCCTTGCCCATTCCGGATCAGCCGGGAGACTCAGTGTCCATAGACTTCATGGACACTCAAGTCAAAAGCAGGCATGGCAAGAGCCAAGTCATGGTCATAGTTGACCATTTTAGTAAGTACGCAGTTTTTGTTCCTTCGCCTTCAGAGGCACTGTCAATAGCGATAGAGACGCACTGTCAGAGGTACTGATTTAATCATACAGAAGTTTTTTTACTGTTGGGTGAGTGAGAATGGAATCCCACTGTCAATAGCGATAGAGATAGTCGCTTCACCAGCCAGAACTAGCAACAACTCATGGGAGTGTATGGATCTAAGTTGTTGATGTCGTCCGGCCGCCATCCTGAGACTACCAGTCAGACAAAGCAGATGAACAAGAAACTACAGCAATTCTGCGCATGTACATTAGGCCAGATCAGATTAACTGGGATGAGATGCTGCCTAAAGTAGCTAGTGCGTACAATAACAGCGTGCATCTGTCCACCTGCCGCACTCCCAACGAATTGCACAAGTCCTTCAGGCCCCGTAGACCATTTGAAGGACTCAACCGGGATCAGATTCACAGATTGCTGCCCGGTACCAGGGAGTTTGCTATGCAACACGAAAAAGAACTAGCTACTGTTGTAGAAAACCTCAGGAGGGCCCAGCATAAGATGATAGAGCAAGCCAACAAGCATCGTCGCCCCTCACAGTTTCAAGTAGGCGACTTAGTCTGGGTCAGTTCTAAAGAGTTTGCCCCTGAGGAGAACATCTCGCAAAAGTTACTGCCCACCTATAGAGGACCGTGGCCAGTCTTGGAAGTCAAAGGCGGAGAAGATGGGCCGTCCTCCACCATAGAACTCCCAGCACACCTCCACACTTACCCAGTTTTCCATGCATCGAAGTTGCTACCTTGTCAAACAAGTAATCAGTTTCCATCCCGTAGGTCGATGATCCCACCGGATATGGATGGAAGATATGGCACCGATGGTATAGTGGCTGAAGATGTCTTCAGGACTGGAGGTAGGGGTCGTCCACAGAAACAGTACAAGGTTTAGTTTCGTTATCAAGAACTGGAAGACGACCGCTGGTTAACGAGATCTGAACTTCTAAAGACAACCCCCGATATAGTCCGGGCCTACGAGAGACAACAGCGAGGTAAAGGTCCTGCCTTAAACTGAAATTTTCTCGGAGGACCTCGAATTTAGGCCGGCGGGAGTGAAACGGTATTCACCAGTTCGCAGTAGCTGATGCAGATCCCAGGGCTCGATCCCTAGTTCCCCAACTTACCTGTGTACAGTACCAGTGTCAACCCGTAGATTTGAACCTGCGACCTGTAGGACCGCCAGTGGTAGGTAGGATTTCGTAGGTTACAGGGTAGAAGAGATTCGAMCTGTAGACCTGTCRGGTAGGAGTCTRGACAGTCTAGAGGTCGTAGCTGTAGACTGTCCGAAGGGTCAAGGTCGTAGCTGCTACTTACCTGAAAGGGCAAAGTCSTAGCCGAAAGGYCAAAACAGAGAGTTATAGAAGTGGCCTTTCGGAGTCAGCCTACGTTAGACAGAGGCAAGTGGTCAAGTGGTGGCAGTCCACCTCGTACAGTCAGCAGTCCCAGTCCACCCAATCCGGTCCAGTCAAGCAAGTACCGTCTGGGACTGTGTGCACCGTGGRCCAGGGGACACAGGGCAGWYCAGCGAGGCACAWAAGTATAAATCAAGAGGCTGCGTCCAGTCATTCATTCATTCATGYGGAAGCCATGCGGAAGCGCTGCTTCAGCGTCTTGTGCAAGGAGGTMWGYWGAAGGCCCGAAGACGAAGTGGRCGAGAGTGAAGCAGGATAGCCATAGYGATAGGTAGCGGCAACCATAGYTGYCATAGCTTAGTATAGAGTGCAGTGTGTGTGTACTGTGTGGGTGTTCAGAGTGATGTGCGTGGGACATCCAGGGTGATCCAGAGTGTGAACAGTGAGTTCTTTGGGCGCACAGCCGCCATAGCCAATTGAAGGAGAACTCTTATCTGGTTGCGATATCTCTGAGTACTGTGTGGGCGCATGTCGTCAGTTTGTCT